GGCATTCGAAGCATAGCACCAAGTCGTTGGCGCCAGCTCCGTCTGTCTGACTCGTGATTGCAGTTGTGCGATTGAGTAGTCCTGGGATCAGCATCCATCTCAACAGGTGATTCTTGAACCGCGAGTCCAGCGTTCATCGCTGGTCCAAATAGGAAGGGCATCGGTGTTGGCGGCCTTGGAAATTGTTGATGGGCAAGTACGTAAGGTTGAGCTTGAGGGAACGGTATAAAGGTGCTTCCGTATACAGGCTGATGGGGGATGGTATGTGTCGGGGAATTCGAAAGCTGTCCAAGGGGAATACCCTCAGCATTGATGATTGATGTCCTTGGAACCCGGCGTCCACCAGGAAGCGATACAGATCCTCTCTGCTTCTTCAAAGTCGCGAGCTTTCCAAGGTAGCACATCCAGAGGATAGCTAAGAAAAGGGTGACAACAATCACACTAAAGATGATACCAAAGTGTTGAGCAGGAGTAAGGCAGTGCCACCCAAAACAATAAGATACCCCGCGGGGCGTTTTTGGATTGTCTGGCATGGCAAATTCACCTCGTGGAGTTGTCAAGTGTAGAAGTTTGGACCAAGTTGAAGGGCGAGGAGGAAGCTGGTGATTTTTTGAGATTAATCGCCGAACGAATGTTTCTTCCCTTTCTTCAGTGAAAGAGGCTGAGAATCCACCACCAGCTCAACCTCACCTCAACCTCACCCTCATCTGACATCCAACTTGGGGTACAAACATTTTTCTGCCCGCCCCGGAACTCCATTAGCTAGACTCCTGCAAACCACAAACTCACCATATCCCGTAAGGTACATCTCCCTTATTTCCTGGCATTCAGAAATACCAGGCGAGCTTCAAACACCATCCATAGCGTTTGGATTTACGAATTACTTAGCTTTTCAGGTCAAATGACAGGCTTTTCAAAGTAAGGTGCGTCAATATTTCTATGCTCTCGTGTGGATGGCTGCGTTTAAGCAACGGCGACATCGGCACATCAATATCAATCGCCTGAACAGGTCACAGTGGGGGGGGGCGAAATGTGGCAGAGGGGCAAAGTCAAATGCCTCCATCACCACTTGCATAGTTCAGCTAGTTCGGACAAAAAATGAAGAAAAGCAAAGATGAGTTCATTGAAAACGAGGCCCGAGAGAGAAAATGTCAACCCAATTTAGTCATCTGTATGAACTGTTTGCAAAGAATTGGGCGTTTGTGCTCGGTCAAACGCTCTTGAACCATCACCGCAGTCCAGCCAGGCGTTGAAGGCGATAGAGGCAAAATCAGGCTTTCTTCACAGTGTAATTGATGGCCCAGCCGAGCAACTTTATAAAGCCTAGCATTGTGCTGACCCACTAACCGTGTCCATGAAAATCTTGTTGCACATCGTCTTTTTGTTTCCTTTAACCACATCAACGACGGCACCCACGACAGCCAGTCTCACTCTCGCACAAAATGACTATCGATGTCATTCTCGGGGCCCAATGGGGTGAGTTTGTCTTGCATCCCTTGCCTGGAATGCGTCCTTCCGGCCGATCTGGGTTGGCTCTCATGATACTAATGATAACCTCATAGGCGACGAAGGCGTGAGTCCTCGATATGAACCCGATACGTCCCGATATCCAGATATTAACAATACTGTGTGTTCAGAAGGGAAAGCTGGTTGATATCCAGTCCCGGGACGCGCAAATTTGTTGCCGAGCTGCCGTAAGTTCAACGAAGGCACCAATTCCGCCAACAGCTTCCACGATCCCTTCGCAATCGACTATCTCCCGGTGGAATACCTGCTAACTACCCTCGAGGGCGGATCTAATGCAGGTCAGTCTATCTGCCATGAGGCAAATCTAGAGTTCTAGAGCGGCCTGAATCGGGGACCAGGGCTGACTGGTGGGACTGTTTTAGGCCACTTGATCAAGTTCGTCAAACGCTTTCAATCGATAAATTGATATATCTGTTATTTGCTAACGAGTCAAAGGGTGGATGGGGTCTCTTATAGGTAAAGAATGGGCCGGCGTCGAAGCTGTGGGTGGCTACTGACTCGTAGTAGCTTTCACCTCTTGCCCTCCGGCCTCATGAATCCGCTGTGCACAAACTTCATCGGCTCCGGTGTGGTCTTTCATATGTGCGTCATACCAAAATCCTCTGACTATGACCCGATCGATCGCCGGACAGGCATCTTATTGATGTCTCGCCTGGCTCGCACCCCTCAACTGAACAGGTCAATAAGACTGACTTGGCCCCTCTAGCCCAACCTTCTTCAGCGAGCTAAAGGAGCTTGAACGGAGTATGTTGGAGGGTACCCCAGTCTTTTGAGCATCAGTATGTCTAACATAGCTCAGAGGGCCTGTCTAAGGTACACGACCGAATCTATGTTTCTGACAGGGTCAATGTCCTCTTGGATATGCACATGGCAGTGGATGGTCTTGAGGAGAAGGAGCTTGGAGGTTCGTCCTATGGTTTCGATGCTCTCTTTAAGAAACAGTAGCTAATGAAAGCCTCAGACGCAGCTATTGGAACAACAAAACGCGGTAATGTACCCCCGGAACTTCATGCTGATTTTGCCCCTTTACAAGCACTCCCGTATATGAACACCAGGGGTAGCGATTCTATTAAAGCAACGGGGTCTAACTTTCTCCAAAGGCATTGGTCCATGCTACCAAACAAGCAGAGCGGTGAGAAGTTGGCTTGATGAGGGGTCTCACTGTGTGCTAACTTTCCCAGCGAACGGGCATCAAATTAATTGATATCTTCTATCCTGAACTTTTCGAGGAGAAGGTGAAGCGCTTAGCTGATGGTTATCAAAAGCGCTTTGGAGAACTTTTCCAGTACGACATCAAAGCCGAGCTTGCTAGTTTTGAGGAATACAGGGAGACCATGAGGAAATACGTCGTGGACGGCGTGGCTTTCATGACATCCGCGCAGCAGAGCGACAAGAAGATTGTGGTGGAAGGCGCAAACGTAATTTTCTCATCCCAAACGCTAAATAAACAGTGCTTACTTCAATAGGCACTGATGCTAGATATTGATTATGGCTCGTACCCGGTAAGTCTGCGTTAACTTCGTTCTTCGATTTTGCACCAGTGCTTATAATCAATAACAGTTCGTTACTTCGTCAAGTACCACGCTTGCTGGCATCATTGGTGGACTCACCCTGAACCCGAAGAACATTACACAGACGGTTGGAGTGGTTAAAGCTTGTATGTTAACTGTTTTAAGGCTGTTATTCACTGCTGACAGGCAACAGACACCACCCGTGTCGGTTGGGGTGCCTTCAAGACCGAAGATACGGAAGAGTGCGTCTTTATTACATTCCCGAAACCACTCTAGACTAATTAAATCTTCAGGATTGGCACTAAACTTCAGGAGATTGGACGCGAATGGGTGAGGCTACATGCACCTTAGAGGATTCGAGCTTTCGTCGTTGACAAGACATAGGGGACGTCGACCGGCCGCAGACGCCGATGTGGATGGTGAGCTTTAATCACTTTGGCAGTTAGCTGCTGATCAACTTACTAACTGCTCTCAGGCTTGGTACGCACCACTCCAAAACCCTCAGGGATTGACGGAACTAGGAACGCATCTAACAAGTACAGACCTTGTGGTTGTTAAATACAGCAACGCAATCAACTACTACACCAGCCTTAATCTAACAAAGGCAGGCCTGGTATGCTTCCTACGTGTATGAAAATACCCTAACATTTTATAGCTCGATGTTTTGGACACTTTTGAAACGATCAAGATCGCGATCGCTTATAAGGTCGACGGACAGGTTAGTGATGCCAACGAGATCAAAATAGATGATAGTGATGTTGACCGTCCGGGCAGGAATTGGACTCTTACCCTGCGGATCTCAAGATCTTGGAACAAGCCGAGGTGGTTTACCATGAGATGCCAGGTTGGCAAACGGCGACCACTAACGCGAAGACCTACTACGATCTGCCCAAGAAGGCTCGTGATTACGTGGAGGTAAGCACTTGAATGAGGCTCGTATAGCGAACAATAGTGCTAACCTCTAGCAGTATATTGAGAAGTTTGTGGGAGTCAAGGTAAATGGGCGCAGATCTGTCCAAGCCTGCAGTTGCTAACGTCCCGCAGATCAAGTACATTGGCACCGGTCCCGACCGTGAGGCCATGATCCAGCGCGCCTGATTGCACAAGATGGAGGAAGCACCTGAGCCTTGGCTTGGATCGTGCGCAAGGAGTGTTAAGTGCCCAAGCCATCTTATGACTCCAAGAAGAGTGTGGGTATTTCCTATTTACCTTGACGACCCCTTTGTGCCCACTGCCCGTCCGTACAGTCCTTTGCCCGTGATGTTCCAGATGCGTGGCGTGGGAAGGATTGAGTAGATCCCGTGAGTGGGAATGATGCTGGGCTCTAAGAACTTAGACGTCTAATTGAGCTGATCTCTACAAAATTCGCTGTCTTTTGAGTGCCTTGAACATCAGATTAAGTCCAACTTTTGCCTGAATACAGCGCAAAAGTCCTGGAGGTCAATGTTGCCATAGTCTCGGACAATCTGCAACTCGGCCTCGGACAAATTCTCCCTCTTCAGCAGTCCCAGTCGTTGTCTGCAATAGCCTCAGGCATGTCGCCAGGCGCTGTAAAAGTAATTTATTAAAAGGGAGTGATCACGGCTTTGATGGAGTCCATTAAGTACGTACCTCAACTTGGGTGGAGCACGGGCCATCAACTCGATTGAACCCTGCTGCGAATAACTTTAGTTTGTCTGCCTTCTTTCTCAGCTTGCGCCAACGCGACCACATCCGCCTCCCTTCCACTTAGCGCTTTCTTCACTCCCTCTCAGCCCCCGATCAGGTTGAACATGGTCTTCAAGTTCTGAACTGTCGATGCATCGGTTCTTCCTCGACTCAGCGCTGACCCCCTAGCTTCGCAGTGAAGCGACGCGCTTCTTCGTCTCGCCTTGTGTGCACCCCATCATCTGCACCTCGAGCGAGCCTCGAGTCGACCGAATATTCAATTCAACAAGCTTCCTGGCGAATAAATAAGCGATCATGGCGACAACATTACAGAATGGCGATGCGAAAGATGGCACCAATGGCGACACTAGTGGCCCCAAGCTGACGAGGTTCTCTAACGTACCCGCGTCGATTGAGGTCCCAGTGCAAGGTGACCAAGACGACGAAGCCGTCGAAATCGATCTCGAGGACCTTGGCGATGACCCCACTGAGCTCTGCACGCTGTTTGAAAACGAACGAGCCGCGAAGCCCTACTGGATGGCTGTGGCGCTTGCCTACGCCAAGCAGGGGAAAGTTGATCATGCCATCGAGATGCTGCATCGTGGCAGCGTCGCCATCCAGTCGAGCATTGCAGCCCAAAATGGAAACACGGGCCAACGCGACAAGGTCAGCATGATTTGCTGCCTGTGTTGGATGTATCTGTGGAAGAGTCGCGAGGCTCCTCGTGTCGCACCGGAAGGGACGCGGGTTTCAGAGGCCAAGACCAAGGACTACTACCTTCAACTGGCGACCTCCTCCTTGAACGACGCTGCCCGCCTCAATCCTTCGTTTTCACCCATGTATCTCGCTCGAGGCGTCCTCCTCCTCCTAAGGGCTTCGCTCCAAGCCCCTCCCAAAACCGCTGGTGGCACAGGGTCAGAGAAGTTCGAACTGCTCAAGACGGCCGTCAAGGCCTTTGAAGATGCGCTTCGTGTCTCGCAAGGCAAAAATATGCTTGCTTTGATGGGGAAGGCACGTGCTCTCTATTCGATGCAAAAGTTCGCGGATTCATTGGCGATATACCAAGATGTCCTACACAAAATGCCCGACTTGATCGATCCTGACCCGCGCATTGGTATTGGATGCTGTTTCTGGCAGCTTGGGTTCAAAGATGATGCCAAGGTTGCATGGGAGAGAAGCCTGGAGCTCAATCCGAACTCGAAGGTCGCCAACATTCTGCTAGGGCAATCGTATCTTGATGCCAGCGGTCACGTTCCAGTCAACAGCGATGAGTTTCTGAAGCTTTACAAGAAGGCCATGACTGAATTCACCCAGAAGGCCTTCAAGCTAGACAAGGACCTTCCGCTCACATGCTCGACCTTCGCGGGGTATTTTCTTTCCAGGAAGGCTTGGGACAATGCTGAGAAGCTTGCCCACAAGGCCATTCAGTTCACAGATGTCAATGCCATTGCCAGTGACGGCTGGTATCTTTTAGCCCGCAAGGAGCACTATGCTGGCAACACAGAAAAGGCCAGCGACTTCTACCGCCGTGCTGACGACGCCCGTGGTGGTGCAGATACAGGCTATCTCCCCGCCAAATTCGGTGTAGCACAGCTGTCTGTGCTGAAAAATGAACTGGGAGAAGCCAAGTTGCGCCTCGAAAAAATGATTCAGCAGTCGAAAAATTACGAGGCAATGATACTGCTTGGAACATTGTATGCCGAGGAAATCTTCGCCAGCCAAGACAGTGACAGCAAAGAGGACAAAGGCCCAGAAATCAAGAAGGCATTTTCCTTACTTGAAGGGGTCCGAAATGCTTGGAAAGATCCAAAAAAGAACTTATCGCCCGATGCCTCTGTCTTGCTGAATCTGGCTCGCCTATATGAATCAGAGAACCCCGAGAAGGCCCTCCAGTGTCTTCAGCAAGTGGAGCAGCTGGAGCTTGACCAAATTCCAGATTCAGAGTACCCGAAGGATATCACCGACGAGAACGAGATTCGCTCTTCACTTCGAAAGTTTCTCCCCCCTCAGCTTCTAAATAACATCGGTTGCTTCCATTCTCAGGCAGAGAAGCATGAGCAAGCCAGTGAAATGTTTGAGGCAGCTTTAGAGGCCTGTGTTCTAATTGGCGAAAGAGATTCGACTGCGGATACAGATGGGTTGGTCTCCACAATTAGTTTTAACTTGGCCAGGAGCTATGAATCAAGGGGGATGACAGACAAGGCTATTGAAGTCTACAACGGGCTGCTCGCCAGGCATGACGACTACACCGATGCCCGTGTCAGGCTTGCCTACATTAAGCTGCGCAAGAATCCAAACAAGGAGGGCCCGGACGCGGTTGCGAAACTCTATCAAGAGAATACATCCGATTTGGAAGTCCGAGCACTCTTCGGGTGGTATCTTGGCAAAGTCCATTCAAGGAAACGGCCAGCCAACATTAACGAAGATAACGAGTTCAGACACTACAAACATACACTGCAGAATTATGATAAGCACGATCGCTACGCTCTTGTTGGCATGGGTAACCTGTACCTGATGCAGGCAAGAGAAATGAGGCGAGAGACGGATCCAGAAAAGCAAAAACGCAGTACGGTGTACGGCAAAGCTGTCGAATTCTTCGAAAAGGCGCTATCACTTGACCCCAAGAACGCGTATGCCGCCCAAGGCATTGCGATTGCTATGATCGAGGACAAGAAAGACCACAAAACAGCTCTGTCGATACTGCACAAAGTCCGCGATACCGTGCAAGATTCTCATATTTTTGTCAACCTTGGGCACACATATGCTGAGCTCCGACAGTATACCAAGGCCATCGAACACTACGAGATTGCCCTGACCAGAGATGGAAAGGGGAATGACCCTGTTATCCTTGCATGCCTTGGCAGAACTTGGTTGAATAGGGCCAGGACCGAGCGTGAGATCGAATTCTATGACAAGGCACTCGAATGTGCGAAGAAGGTATGATTCAACTGGCCTGTGACGTAAACATTTGACAAGGCAAGGCTAATCTTGATATATAGGCATTGGAAGCGGCGCCTGATCAGGTTCACGCAAAATTCAACGTGGCGTTCGTGCAGATCCAACTCGTAAGCGCCATCTACGGCTTGGCAGAGAATCGCAAGACATCGGCGCAGCTCGAAAAGGCGACAGAAGGTCTGGAGGCTGCCATCGAAACGTTGGATGAAATTGCAGCCCACCCACAACCACCTTACCCCAAACATGATCTGGAACAGAGAGCTAGCATGGCCCGAAACACCTTGCGAAAGCAAATGGAACGATCAACTCTCCAACAGAAGGAATGGGAGGAGAAGAACAGGGAAAAGATCGAGCTGGCTCAGAAGCAAAGACAGGCCGAAATGCAAAAGCGTGAGGAGGAGCGTCAGAAAGCCCTTGACCAGGAGCGAGAGCGACAGGACAAGATTCGCAGAGAGCGCGAAGAGATTCAGGCCAAGGACCGAGAGCGTGCTGAGGAACGCGAGCGGGAGAGGAAGGAGGAAGAAGAACGCAAGCAGGCAGACTTGACAACGGACGAGGAGGGTGAAAAGGTGAAGAGGAAGCGAAAGGCCGCCCCACGCTCTGCCGAGGATAGACCAAAACGCCCAAGGAAGAAGAAGTCACGGGCCGATGGGTCTGGTGATGAGGATGACAACGCTGACGAGGCCCCTCGCACAAAGAAGAAGCGCCGTCTCACGAAGAGGGACGACCCGAAGGCCAAGTCCGACGCGATTATTTATGACAGCGATGAGGAGGCAAACTACGATGCTCCGGACGCCCTCGAGGAGGCTGAGAGGAACCTCAACAGGGATGAAACACCACTCTCCGAGCTCGAGGAGATGGATGTTGACGAGGCAGGCAAGGACGACGATGAAGACGGTGAGGAGGCAGCTCCTCGTCAGCACAAGAGAACACGCAGGGGGCGCATCATTGATGATGATGACGAGGACGAGGATGAAGAAGCTGCTGCTGCTGACACAAGCATGAAGGAGGTCGAGGAGGACGACGAGTAGAGATACTCGACAGCAGGTTTATATTTTTCCAAAAAATTTGTAACCATACGTCTTTTCAGCTTTCACTCCGGCTTTTGTGCCGTGTCGTTTTGTTTGTATTTCATCTCATCCAGTCGAGCAAAAGTTACATTACTTAACGGGCAAGGGGGGGGTTGGGTACTTTATCCTAGAGCGAACACACATAATTAACTGCATAGATTGAACTTGGGCTTGTCCCGGCGATGGTGATCCTAACGTGGATTCTTCTTTTTCCTATTATACATCCGCCCTCCCTGGCAACTAATCATGTCGTGGGCAGCAGTTTCTCACGATAGCTTCCATAAGGGGCAATTTACACTCTACTACAGCTGTCACACGTCGGTTCACCAGGATGAAAATAGTTCGGCACGAAATTTGTTTGCTATTTCCGCAGAGTCTTTCTCTCTCATACCAGAAGTACAGTCGTCTATATAACTCTTCCTATGCCTCAGGCCAGGACGCAGCAGATCGATGCTATACACCAAGACAAAAACAACAAGGAGAACAATACTGACATATAAACGACGCCGACTCCCTACCGGATAAAAAAAAAAAATAGGCCCTTTTCCTTCGCCCAATGGTAGTTGTAGAGAAGTAAACACGAGGCAACATAATGAATTTGGGTGGTATAAGAATGACACATGTCGAGCTACAGAACTGACATTTCTTCCTTGCTTTGTGGGGGGGGTCATATATTTATTTCAGCTTCTTCTTCTTCTTCTCCTTCTTTTTATTATTCTCCTGGGAAGACAAACAGAGAGGCCCCTCAAGGGCACTCATGTCGTCACAGCCTTTTCACTCTCCTCATGAGCTAGCCGGAGTTCCCGATCTGGTCCCATCAATAATGCCAGCTAGCCTTTGCCTGACCTTCTCTTTATGACTGGAGAATCTGAGATGGGCTTCGAACTTCTGCGCCGTCATGTCAGGGCCAGGGGTGTACAGCTTGGTAGGGCAGTCAAGACAGCGGATGCGTGGGAGCCAGACATGTTTTACGCCCTCGGGGACGGGTTGAGTCTGGACAGGCATTTCCGTGACAGGATTGAGGTAAGAATATTTCATCATAGCCTCAAACCTATCATTAGGATATTGCTTCTGGAGCTCTCGAAGGGCTTCATGAAGCCACTCTGGCGGAGGAGGCTATAATTTTCAGCGTGGTTAGCTCAGGTCGACATCGAGATAAAGCATGTTGCCATCTACTGCCAAGTGTTGGGCTCAGAACTTACAGCAGGAGGTGGCGATTGCCCGGGAACTAAGGGGGGAGCGGGCAAGCGTCCCAGTTGACCAGCAGGGAATGTATATGCGGTGGGCGCCTGGGGAGTTGTAGAAGAAGTGGCAGGTGCAGGGGCCGTAGGTGTGGGCGGGGGAGGAGGCATGACTTTAGCAGCGGCAGACGTGCCAAGACCGTGGTTGTGTGACATCGACGGCGTTTGTGGCCCTGCAAGAAGTCGTCGAAGCTTCTCCTTGTCGACTTTCAACTTCACATACAGATGGAGTGGCTCCTCTGTCTCTTCCCTGAACCGACGTGATGTCCTAGTTTCATGATGATGTATGGCCGCAGAAGCCTCTGGCGTCTCTGAACGACCCAAATTGGCCATTCTCTGTGCGGCTGCAGAGGCAGCTACGCGCATGCCTCTCGTACGTGCAGTACCTTGGGCGAGGTATGATGACGGCGCGGGGGAGTCAGGTGCTGAGTCTTCGCTCTCGTCAGACTCGGACAAGTCTCCATCACGAATAGGCCGCTTCCTGTTGGTACCAGCAGCTCGCTTGTAGAGCCTGCTCTCTTCCACGTTTGGTGCTGAGCCCGGCAATACGGATGAAACCACCATCGTTCTTATCGTCCGTTGTCTCTCCTTTAGATCGGGAAGCTGAGGTCCGCCCCTTCTATTAATCGACCTCTTCTGTCGTCTCTGCTCACGGGAGAATATCGTTTCGTTCCTCTCTAGATCAGCATCAGAGAGCTCATACAGATATGGAGAATATTCCTTGGCTTGCTGCATTGGTCTAAACACGGTTTGCAAAGGAGTCTGAAGAAAGGCAGCAATAAGATCAGGATCCTCGACTGGACGGCCGTCAAAGGGATGTCCGACACTGTACAGGCCCCTGGTGAATAACTGAGATTGCTCGCGGATACAATGGGCAATGGCAGTTGTGAATTCGCCTGACAAGGACAGGTCTTGTGCCATGTTCGACGCAAATTCCTCTGGAGAGTTGGATGGGTTGTTGATCTCCCATTCAAATTGATCAACAAGAGTGTGCTGGCCGATTGTGATGTTAAGCTTAATCAACACGCGCATCTCGTCGTTTTTGTAGGCTGAGTAAGGCAATTCGGGATCAAGGGCGTCTTCGTCGAAATGGGCAAAAGGATAAAAATCGTTCAACTGGTCGCGCATCTGCTGGACTACTTGCTCATACACAGCCTGTGCGGCTGGGGCGGGTGGTTTGAGGCCCATGTCCTCCACCAGCTGTGAGGCGAAAACCTCGACATGGACAAGCCTTTCGTGCAGATTCCATGTGAAGGTGTCGCGTAGACGGATCTTGTCCCACTCCACTTCTAGCCGGACGGGGACTAACTCTTCATGCTGTTCGGCTTGCTTTAGCATATCCTTCCGCTTGTATCTGAGAACAGGCGCGACTCTCCGGCCAGGTCGCATCTTCTGTGAAGGATATACGATTCTAGAAGGGCCCTGAGTTTCCGTGTAGCCATTTGCGTATCCGTTGTATCCTTCTCCATATAGGCGGCTCGGGGGAAACCATTGGCGGTATTCATTACGAATTGCCTTGTAGTCGTGTATCCGGTCACGCGTTCTGCCTGTCTGCTTGCGAGTCTGTTCTAGCTGTTGTTGGAGGGCAGCGGCGGCAATGGAGTCGCGCATCATATATCTCTCAACCATAAGCTTGTTGAACGACTCCTTGGTGCGAACAGGCACCTCCATGACAGACATCTCGCCAGTCGGGCTGCCGTCGGTTTTGGTGGAGCCATTAGCATTTTCGTCGGCCCCTAGGGCGGATGTCGTTGCCGTCGCGACGCCTCCAGTCGATGAGGTTGCTGATGCCGGTGTGAAAGGTTGAGCAGCCATTCTGGCAAGCTAGATGCCCGGAGCAGACCAGATGGTGCGATGATGGCTGTGGTGGGAATGCGCTTCCTTTCCTCCTTTCCCCTTGCGCGCGTCGCTGGAGCACACGATGCGACGCCTCGTGTGCAGTTCCCGTCAGCGTGCCGGTAAACGGCGTCAATAATGGCGTCAAAGGCGTCGTCGAATCGATTTGGGAAGCGCGAAAAGCTCGAGGTGATGTGGGAGACGACAGGCGGTTTCGTTGGGAGACGTGGTCGTGCGCTCCGCGCGGAATGGCAGCTTCATAATCTTGCAGGCAAAATGCGAGAACGAGTTGAATGTTTAGCCAGGAGAAGGCTGAGGCAGATGGGACATTAGACAGTTGTACCAGTACCTGCCTTTCTGCGATGTTCGTGACAGTTTTTTGTATATATACATGTCTCCAGCCTTGGTTTAGTTGACCAATCGTTGCGCGTTTTTTTCCTGGCTGTGGGACTACCTACTTACACATGCAGATTTAATGGTGTAGGGTAACCCTAGACAATTACTCATACAATAATACCGTAGTTCAGGTCGTATAAAACGCCGCGTTCAGCCTTGGTAGATGGGTGATGGATCTGGTATTATACTCTGACGTTCGTAACGGTTTATTGTCTTGGTTCCATGCGGTTTACTGTTTTGATACCATATCGGAATCTGGTCTCCGCGACTTCAAGGTGCCATGATTTGAAATGTAACCTTTGGGCATTTACAACCAGAAATCATACCGACCGGGAACTTGTTTGTCGCTATACGCTGTTCGAGGGCACCACGCCTTGGCGGAATCATGCGAGATGGCTACCTCCCTAGCTACCTCTTATGTGCCGAGGCACGCACCTAAGATACACCAACGTCATTGATGTACGCTACCCTATACAAATACTTTGCTCTTCTTCCAAGCCTCTGCTTTTGTACAAGTGTCGATGTGGTGGCCTGGGAAGAGAAGAGGCGCCAGCCAGGAGCTTATTCACGGAAGTCACGACTTGGTCAGAGTGTTGCATCGGGTTTGGTTTAGCGGTAGTCGCTTGTGGGAAAAACTAAGTCGTTGCGTCACTCCTACCTCGATGGCAAGGAGAATGAGGTGGAGAGCTCTATGCGGGCTTCTTGTGGGAGGCTGAGCAGGTACCGCGCGAGCTCTTTATTCGTATTTTCAACTGGTGCGCTTCCGTGTTACACCACAAGGGAAGCTCAGTGATGCTGCAGGCTGACAGATAGAATGACCGGAATCAGATCCTCCACCACCAAAAAGCTCGCAATGGGCAGTTTCGAACCCTTTGAGCGGCTATTCGGGGTGTGTAGGTACTTTGTTCGGAGCTATGAGATTTGGGTGAATTGTGCGTAGCTGCGCGCAAAGGTACAGGGTACAGCTGCCTGGGAGGGGTTTCGAGGGCGACTTGCCCCTCTAAGCTGTGGAAACTGGGCCTGCTGAGCAAAACCCCACCATTTTTGGTACCATTAACCCTTCCCACCTCTTGCTGGATCCCTTCATGCACCCGATTCTTCCTCCTCGATCTAGTTTGCAACCACAAATAAACATTCGCTGAGCTGACCAGAGGTCTTCATAAGCTGCCCATCATGTCCGACGAAAAGGAGACCGGCAAGGAGACCGGTAAGTCAACCCTGTTTGATCTGTACATTTGCAATTCCACAACCTCGTCTCTGCTCAGGCCTGCCACATCCTGCCCCGCCATGGCATCGCGGGTAGTCATTGGGCTCTGGCACACGACCACTGGCGATGTTCCTGGTTCTACCAAGCATACCCCGCGGTGACTAACGAATCACGCAGTGGATTACACCCTGAACAACCCCGATACTCTCACCAAGTACAAGACTGCGGCTCAGATCTCCGAGAAGGTCCTCGCTGAGGTCTCCAAGCTTGTCGTTCCTGGCGCAAAGATCGTCGACCTCTGCCAGCAGGGTGACAAGCTGATCGAGGAGGAGGTTGCCAAGGTATACCGAGGCAAGAAGGTCGTCAAGGGTATGTGTCCATTCTGGCCTCGTCACTCGGTTCTCTGAGTTAACGCTTATGGTCTTTCAAGGATTCTCTCACCCCACCACTGTTTCGCCTTCTTCCTATGTTACCCCATACACCCCATTGACATCCGACGAGGCTGAGGCTGCTACGGAAATCAAGGCCGGAGAGGCCATCAAGATCCAGCTCGGTGCCCAGATCGACGGATTTGGCTCCATTGTTTGCGACACCGTTGTCGCTGTCGAGAAGGCCGACGAGGTCATCACTGGCAGGACTGCAGATCTGCTCCTGGCCAACTACTATGCCAATGAACTTCTTCTCCGGCTACTGATCCCCCCCGGACTGCTGGCCCAGGGTACTGACGAGGAGAAGGCCAAGGCCGCTGCCCAGAAAGCTCCCACCCAATCTAAGATCACTAGCTTGCTTGAGAAGGTCACGGAAGCCTACGAGACCCACCTCGTCGAGAGCACCACTTCATGGCTATTCGCTCGTAACGAGATTGAGGGTACCAAGAAGATCGTGCTTGCTCCTGCCGAAGGCACCAAGGGTGATGGTGTTCCCGAGCTTGGCGAGGTGTGGGGTGTTGAGATGGGTGTGAGTTTGGGATCTGGAAAGGTCAAGTCGATCGACCAGCGAGCTACTCTCCACCGCCGAACCACCCAGACTTACGGTCTCAAGCGCCCTACTTCCCGTAAGGTTCTCTCCGAGGTCCAGAAGAAGTTTGGAACCTTCCCCTTCAGCTTGAGACAGCTGGAGGATGAGCGTGATGCCAAGTCCGGTGTCGTGGAGTGTGTCCGTGGCAATGTTTTCCGTCAGTACGAGATCATTGGTGACAAGGAGGAATCCCCCGTCGCTAGGTACTTGACGACTCTCGGTAAGTGAAAGCAATGATGAATCAACACAGCGTGAGTGACAACAGAGAAGACTGACATCCAAATGCACTAGCCCTGACCAAGAATGGTATCACCAAGCTTGGAGGCCCCCCTCCCCTGGATCTCTCCAAGGTCCAGTCGGACAAGAAGATCACGGATGAGGAGGTGCTCAAGATTCTTGAACAACCCCTGGCAAGAAACACTGGAAAGAAGAACAAGAAGAAGAAGACCAAGAAGGAAGGTGGCGAGGAATAAACACAACCAACTGGAAGGTCTGGCTGGGGCCACTTTTTCTCCTGGTATCGAGTATCACCAAAAAAAAATTGAGGGTAGAATGTTCCATAAAGTATTCCCGACCACAATTCCTTTTATCAAGCGAGCAGAGATGATCGCAGAATCTCGGCCTTAAAATAGGATCGAAAGTTTAACTCGGCCTTGTCTGGATGAAGATTGATTTGGATCTGAGAACATGAGACATTTCGTGTTGGTTGAGCAAGTGCCCTTCATAGTAGTCGGGAGTAGTGAAGCCGTGATATCATATATTAATTAACATAGATATCCAATACCTTCGGCCATCACAGGAGCCGTGCCTGCGATTTTCTTCTTTGCTAGAGGGATTACTTGCTGTGTGCCAAAGCAAACAGCCGGAACAGCGAGACAGCCACACAGGTGAGCACTTGAACCTTAATTTTGCCAGTGTGATCAACATGTCGCATTATGCCGTCACCAAAACGCGGTTTGCGGGCAACCACAGTGAGCATGTGGAGGTACCGCAGTGATTGACATATAGCATGGATGTGAGGGAGCAGAAGGATCGAGTTCAAGCGAGAGGCCCAATCCCTGGGTTCCGACGCCACTCACTCACGCCCCCCCAGTGGGACTGAGTGTGCCTCGTCCGCACCAAGGGAGGCTGCTCTTGGATGCATCCTACCGAAGCCTTGCCAAGTGAGTGGCATCAAACATGGCACATGGTAGTAAGACGTGCTGAGACTGATACGTAGGTTATTGGACCTGGTATCATTCAAACTGATAACAATGGCCACGGGAATGTGCACACGCTACACTGCCGTGCTAGGTTGTCATTTCTGTTGGAATACAATGTTGCCTGCCTTGAGGCGGTGTGTGGCGGTCCACGTGGCCTCCTATTAAACGATAAAAGGCAAAACTATGCATGATGGAATAACGACTCAGAGACGAGGCTCGGTAACATGCTCCGTCAAGGGCCAGGTGCTGGGGAGGGGGTGGGTAGTGTTCGGCTGGCGAGGAGGATGTCGACAAGTGAAGTGAAAAAGGGGGTCGGAGGCACTCTGCGCAATTGCAGTGCACTTTGGGTAGGGAGCTCGTAGAGGAAACGCACATTCCAAGTCCTTTGATGAACCGTCCCCAGCAGACAGATGCAGCGATTGAAAAACCATGGGGACTTGACTCTAATGATAGATACCTAATCCAGGGATCTCCTAATCTTACTGGATAATCATCTCGAGATGAGCTCCCAGGCATGCCAAGTGAGGTCGGTCGCCGATGGTGTAGGCCCTGGATGGTAGGTAGTGAATAGGTGTGCCGAGGCGCTGTGACAGTGATGCAGGGTGCGCTGGCGAACCCCCGTAGGCGTGTAACTGTACAGGCAGCTTCAGCGACCGCAGGAGATGGAGCTGCACAGCTCGCGCCTGGACCACGCCTGGACCTCAATCCACGAATTTCTTCCCCTGCCATCCGCCCTCTCCATTCCTCCAACCGCGTCGAAACGAGCTGATGGAACGCGATCTGGTAGCAGAAATTCATGCTGCCGCTTGAAAGATAGGTAAGTGATCCAGAGGACCACCGCGCGACGTGTGCATTGGCTCACCATACACTGGCAGACCTGAAGAGGTGCGCTGCTGCCCAGCCAGCAGGGGGTGGGTTTGCTTGAGCGAAACCTACCATGATCTCGTCAAACACCCGAGCTTCGCGGTCGCGGTACTCGAGTCCTGCGCACCAGCAACAGCAGAATGGAGGAGGCAAGGGAGACGGGAATGGGACGCACGAGGCGCCGAAGCCCTCTGCGAACGACAGGTCAAGGGCTTTTATGGAAAGATGGCTGGAGCCCTCGTTGCAGAACAAGCCGAGTTTCGAGGAGGCAGGATTGATGCGTCACGGCGTGCTGGAGACGATGGCGCCGTTGGGCACGCTGCCAAAGCCCAAAAGGGGCGGGCAGGACAACGTTCCGGCTTCTGCGGTGCGCAAGATCATCCTCAGGCCCTCGGGCGCAGGCAGTGCAGCCAAGGCGGCGGCGACGAATGATGCTGCTTCATCTCCCTTGAGTACCACCGCTGCTGTGGCGGATTTGCCCACCTCCACGGCCAACACCACCACATCGACCACTGCCACCACGCCGTCTTCCACGTCTCCTTCTCCCATCATGGTCCCTCCCGCTTCCGCTCCTGCCACTGTGGCCCTGGAGCCCGCATCAAAGACCACTAGCCCCCTATCAACGTCGCGCAGGCAAGCGCGGAAGTCTCTATCTCTACACAAGGAGGAGCTGGATGATGATGATTATGAGCCTAGGAGGCCTCATCGCAAACAATCTACGATACCATCACTGCCCCCTAAAAAAGGGCGACCGCCTCTGACTCTTCGCCGAAGCTCTCACTCTCACGCCTCAGGCCCTCTCTCACCCGTGAAAGGCCGGCCAAAGATGCAGCAATCAATCGAGACCCGAGGCAACGAGCTTGCTGAGAAGGTGGTGGAAGCGGCTGTGCAAGAGGCACTGGATCATCATCGGTATCCTACGGCTTGGGCTTTGAAAAAGCTCTACGAGGAAAATGCCGGGGACGCTTCATTTGTGACCATGGTTGAGGATGTCTTCACCCAGACTGCCGACGAAAACACGCTGCGAGATTTTTCACGCCGCGTTAAGAGGAAGAAACGTGAAGGAAACACGGACAAACAAGCCTGTTACCGGTTTTTCCAGCTTACGACCAACAGCCACTTCACACCTCAGAAGGCTCTGCCTGCCCCATATGCACACCTCATCCACCACGACGAAGAGGAGGACGAGCTTGAGCCCGAGCCCGAGCCTCGCGCATCCAAGAAAATCAAGGTGACTCATTCCAAGGCAGCGAAAGCGACAGGCCGACGGTCGTCGTTGGCGTCGTCAGCAGCTGTCAACGGCAACAAGCTCAGGACACCGGGGTCGCGCCGGAGAGCAAGGCGAGGATCTGGTTCAAGCGACTCATCTCTATCTTCGGCCATCAGCCTCTCCTCACCCGAGGTGTCCCGTGCTTTGGCCAGCCCAACGCCAGGGCTCCGGAGAGCTCGAGCCAAGGCCAAAGGGCCAGAGGAAGAGGCCGTGGTGGCTCCCGCCACCACCAGCACAATCATCTCCACTACCGCCAATTCCAACTCCGAACCCCCGTCACAGTCTAGTGGTGCCCCCAAGCCCCGGCCAATCACCACACGGGGCAAATCACTCGCCTCCAGCAAGCATCAGCAGACGGCTGCGTCCAACACATCGCGGCCAAACTCTCCCACACTTTCTTCCTCTGCACATCGTCCCCAACGCAAAAAACGGGCTGCTGTTGATGATGCCAGTATGCCGGGACGCCTCGCTCCAGAAGAGCCACCTGTCAGCAAATCTTTTACTACGCCCTCCGCCAAGAACAGTCTTCAGGCGCAAATGCTCGATGGCTACGAGGACAGCTGGGATCGCCGGCGGGATGCTCAGAAGGTGACCAACAATTACACGGCCGTTGAGAGTTCAATCAGGGAGGCTGAAGAGGAGCAGCTGTCGACGCCTGCCAAGTCGACGCGGAGGTCGACGCGCCAGTCCCTCAACGCGCCCCCAAGCACCCGGGCGACTCGCTCGGCTCGCAAGAGATCCATCGAGGTCAGCGACAGGACTGCATCCCCCGTGTCCGTCATGAATCACGGTGGTGAAGGAAGCTCAGTCTTCGGGTCGCGTGCTGTCACGCCGACAAACCTGCCGCCGGCCAAGAAGCAGAAGACTGGCCTTCGCGTGAAGCTATCGTAAGTCATCGCCCGCGTCAATCATTCCATCTCCTTTCAATCTTGTTCCTCTCCTCTTGTCTCTTTCAGAAGATGCGCGGCCGCAGTATGTTGTTGTGCCACCTGTCAACTTTTTTTCACTTGTTGGCCCAAGAAAAACGCGACATTCAAATGGCCACTGTTATGCTGACTTGTTTTGATTTTCATCTACAGACCTATCAAGAAAAAAGGAGGAACTGCTGCTGGTATCCCTCGTCCACAGGGCGAAGGTCAAACAGGCGGTGCTCCGGGCGCTCAAAAGGAACAGGTTCGTGTTGACTTCATTTTTTTTCTCATTCTCTCTCCCCTTGACCCCGGTTTATCCCATCCACCCACCTCAGGGGCCGACTGGCCGCCATCAGCCCTTTCCTTTGTTCATCACCACTCTTTCATCACCATCATCCTCAGGGAAAGCAATGATATCATCGTGGTCTGGCCAGCGGATTTGGAATGGATGGTGTGACGGCTGGAACTGCAGGGTGCATGAAGAAGCATAGACTCACTTGCTTTGCTTCCCGCCACCCATCACGCAGGTCTCGGCCCTATAGTGAAATTGGCGCACCATCCAGGCCAAGCCAGCACCGGCCAGACCAGGGATGGATTCCCTCCCCTCCCCCCCCAAAATGCCCTGCCCAGCCACCCGTGTTATTGGGTGAGATGTGCACTTCGCGTGCGTGTTATCCATTTCGATGGAGCAGTCTCATGGACCGCGTCTGCAGGGATCTGCAGGCGACCCGTCTTTGCGTTGCACCGGACAAATGAGAGGGTCTCTTGCCAACGACTGCCTACTGATACCCTTTTCTCTTTGATTTTCATGAAGACTCGGCTTTGGCTAACACTGTCTTACTTGCTATCGATTATTTAGGCTTCTGATAATGATGAATACTGCTCGGCCTGCGGGAATGTGGGCGACGTGGTTTGCTGCGATGGCTGCCCAAGGTCGTTCCACTTCGAGTGCGTCGATATGGATCGCGATGAAGACTTGCCAGCGGAGTGGTACTGCAATGAGTGTCTGGTAAAGAATTTCCCGTCGCGCGTCCCCGTGCACAAGGGAGTCTTTGGGGCCGCCCTGAACAGCTTGGAAAAGTGCATTCCCCGCGCCTTCAGCCTACCTAAGAAGTTACAGAACCGATTTGAAGGTGTACGCGCTGGAGCCGATGGCGACTACGAGGAGGTGTCCAGCAACCGGGCGGCGCGGAAGAAGAACGCCGGCTACGAGGAGGCGCCCGATTTCTTCAGGCAGCGGGATGATGGTGAGGCTGTTCTGTGCCACGACTGCCAGAAGCCTGCCACCGACATACGCGCCATCATTCCCTGCAGTGTCTGTTCGCTCTACTGGCACACGGATTGCCTGGACCCTCCTCTGGCTGTGCCACCTGTACTCAAGACATGGCGCTGTCCAGCACACGCCGATGAGTTGCTAGCTGAAGCCCCTCCCCTTGCGCCAGCACACCGTTTCCGCAGGATCAAAGGCGCCCATATCATCACGCCTGCTATTGGCCGAGGCCTCAAAAATAATGGCCACATTGAGATTGACTGGAGCGAGGAGCCCGACCTGCCCGATCATTCTGGGTGGAAGGACTATGCCTCCTTTGGTCGCACTTACAAAATCCCTGCACAGGGTGTTGTCTTAGACTTTATCGAAAGGTATTTCCATACATTCTCCTTGCTTGAGGCTTTCTTCTTCTCTTTTCTTTTAAGCTGACTTGGGCCTCTAGGATGCAAAAACAGAAGCACGCCGTTACTACTTTGCATGAAGACGAACCTCGGAGGACAGCGCCGTATCTCACACCGCCTGTTGAGGATCGCGATCGACTGCCTCCGCCCAACAAGGTGTCTGAGCGAAGCGTTGATGAGATGCAGGCCTCGCTTATCCTGACAAGTTTATGTCAACCACCCGCCCAAGGTGTCGATCAACTCACGTCTGCTCTTCTGGCGTCCGCCGATTCAAACGTTGTCGCTTTGATTGCTCAGGGCAACGCGGCCAACATTGCTCGCGAGCAGCTGCAGTCAACAGATAAACTCAGTCTGCAGACCCTTCTCGCACAGATGGAGAACATGTCAGCTACTATTCGGCAAATTCTGACTGGAGCAGACTCGACGAATCTTGGAGCCTCCGCGATCCAAAACAAGAAGGCTGCAGTCTCGATCAAGCCCGATCCTCTTCTCGTTGAACCAACGCCACCGTCTACCATTGACCACACTGAGAGTGTGATGGACCTAGATTAAGCAGTTGTTGACAGCCTGGTGTTGATCAACGACTTCGTTACAATTATTTAATACGAACAGGCCTCGCCTTCTCTGGCTGGTTGGTTTCGTTTTCGAGCATCATACAGGTTTGAAAACACTTCACTTCCTTCGACTTATCCGTCACTGGGCCATCATCAAGATGTAGAATTATTTTGCGCGGCAGCTACACGTCACCAGCTGCTGCTTAATACCCACCCTCTCACCCACCCCCACACCATCCCATCCCAGTCTCGACGGTTTTCCTCCCCTCACATAACAAACATCATTCGAACCCCTCACAGGCAACTGCTTCCAAAATACCAGGTAGCAGGCACCCCTTATAAGAAAGAGTCTTGGCTTCTAGAATTCGGGAAAGGAGCAGCGCGCAGATCGAATGACTGGGTCTAGACAGGTCCGGTCCAGGCCGGATGCCTCTTTCCCCTCTTCTTTTGCATCGCAGCCCTGTCGTTTTGATTTACTCACCCCAGCCGTCTATCCGGCCCCAGTTGTTCTATTTCCTTTTTTTTTATTTGACGTGTATTGATCGGTTGCATGGCCAGGTGGACGGAAAGAGGCCACCACGGGAGAACCCCCCCCAGCAAATGAATAAGCGTGTTCATTGCTGCGAAACTAGCATCTTTTCCTTTTCCCCCGTACTATTTTCCCTTTTCTTTGTTTTTTTGTCACTCTTCAAGCTTATGTATCATATGGAGCGAAGGCGGGAAGGATTACAGACCGGCGGATATTAGGCAAATGTGAACCCTTGAAGCGCTGTTGATGCTTCTTTTTGTCAATCGTTCTGAACTCATCCGGCTTGACCAATTTGTGCTGTAAAAGATAAGATACGAGTTCCGGCCAGAGCTCATGTCCCTGGTGATTGGCTGTTTCAATGCTGCTTGTATGTAGTCAACTCGTGTTGTCATCCAGTGTTGCCTGCTGGGATATATTAACGGCATTCACAAGTACCAGGATATTGGTTCTACTTGAATCGTGCAAGCAATGCTTTTTGTAGTTTTATAGCAGTAACACTAATAATATACATTCAACTCGTAAAAATCGGGATAGCAGCACGTCGCGAGGTGACGCACGCTAAGAAGAAGGATGCGGAAGAGCAAGGTAGAACAGGTTATTCTCTTCCCTTCCGACAAGAATCGTAACAGCAGGCGTAAAACCTCATTCCCTGTCAAAAACCAACGCACAGATCAAGTGTGATGGGCGAGTTTGGCTCCCTCTTGAAATCAAATCCCTCCCGGACGTCCCGTTCCGTTCCGAGCTTCCGATCTCACCACCACTGCTCCACTGTTGTATTGAACTGGCCATTGTCCGGCCCATCCTTTTCCCCATGGAAATCAAGAAATCCTCGCCTTCGCGAGATATAAGAAAAGAGCGACAGTATAGTGACTACTCCGCTTAGTATGAAACCCCTCTCTACCAGTAGATCCCACACACGACGAGATAGAAAAATGACGAAAAAGTAGTCGTAAGAGAAGGTCCAATGAACCTGGACCTAGAAGGCCCCCTGGATAAAGAAAAGATGAAGGGCCTCACAGAGGCCGCTTGCTTTCCTTTTATCCTTCCTAACAAGCATGAAGAGCTACCTCGATATCTCCCCACCAAATCGTTTTACAAGACGTTCATTCGTCCTGGGGTTAGCGAGCCAGAGGACGAGTGAAGAACGTGCGCCTCATTCCTTCTCTGCCACTCTGTGCAACCACCTGGGTCTCCAGCCAAAAAATACCCCTTGGCCAGCCAGGGATGATGAACATTTTGTCTCTCCAGAATCGAATATGGACAAGAAAAGTCAGGCATTCGCAAGGGGAAAGCTATCGAGCCTTGGAATGGCATTGATATAAAGAAAAAACCTGAGGGTCATCTACAGATGAGATGGCCCGTTTGGTGGAAAGCAGATGCATGGGAAGCTCGAATGTCAATAAGTAATGCTGCCGTCCCTGTATTCTTCATTGAATCGCCGATAATGAGTTTTGAACTTCCAAAATGAGTGCTCTTAAGTTCGTGCCAGAGGCATGCTGCTGAACGTAAAATTGATGTTTGAAGTATGAAATCCTCTAAAATGAAATCGCTCGTACTAATGATGGGGTGAGGTAGGCCCGGTCAAGTTTACCTCTGCGTAATCTGTGTTAGAAGCCATTCTAGGAGTCATTTTTAGAAGGATAACTTACGCGGCCACGTCTGCTATTGCCCTGATCCTGCTGGGTAAAATTCATCCCTCCTCCTACGTTGCCAAATCCATAACCTCCCATACCCACACCGAAGCCAGGGGGAGGGAATGAAGCCTGACCGCCAGAAATTTGGGGAATGGGGCCAGAGGATGGTGGGCCAGAGCTACCGTTTGAGACCTGGCGGAATTGTTCCAGGGATGGGTTGCCGTTGGGGTACACTCCATAACCCCCTGGCACTTGCGGGAAGTTGTAGTTCATGGATGGAGCACCACGACCAAGCATGTTTTGCTGGTAAGAGAGCTGTTGCAGGTTCGGTAATCCTGGGGTCCCATACATCAGACCAGGGTTGAACGGCGGCAGAGATGAGACAGTGCTCGCCTCAGCAAGATCGCCTCTCGACTGAGGGAATCCAGAGTCAAATCCTGACACATTTGAAGAGGTGTTGGTCTGATTATAGAACGACTTGTTGCCGGGGTTGCCTTGCTGCCCTTGGTGACCGTTAACGCCGCCACTGGCTTGTCTCGAGCTTGGTCGCTGACGTTGTTCTGGGTGGGCGCTAGAGTCTCGGCTGGCGCCGCCATTTCTCGTAGACAAGCCAACCTCGTCCATAAGACGCTTGTAACCCTGATTGGGCTGAGCCTTGATCCTGACGAGTACATTCTTGACATTCTCTACAACTTGGCTACGGAGAGCCTCGTCAAAGAAAGGCATGGTAAGAACCTTGAAAATAAGTGTCGCACCGCAGTTGGAGTCGTTGAGAATAGCCTCAAGAACCTGGTCATTTGGCGAGAGGAAAAGGGCCTTGAGAACGGAGTCGCGGGCCTCGGGCTCAGCTTTCTGGTTCACAACCTTGAGCACTGTCAGGTAGGCAACCTTATGAGTGCAGAGATGCACCAGGTACGGGATAATGCGAGGCGCAAGAACCGTTCGCCGCTGGGGGAATGTGCAGGTATCCAAGTACCATGTCAAGAGAAGAGCACCGTTCTGGTTGGTGGCAAGGTGAACGCTGTGGATAGCGATCAGTGCTGCAAGCATCCTCTGCTGTTCTTTGGTTGAATGATGACTCTCAAGACAAGCGCGCATAGCACGGGCGCCAAAGCGACCCTGAGAAAGTTGCGACATGCGGCTCATCATTGTCTCGAAAATGAAGTCATTGAATGGCATGTTGAATTTAAGGCAGCATTGAAGAACGTAGTTGCCGTACTGGTCCAGGAACAGAGGAACCGTGTAAGGACGAAGGTTGTCAGTGATGGCGGTCATCTGGGTGCTTGTCTTGCAAACATCGATGATCTTCTGAGCTGCCCAAGTTCCGTTCTTGTGAACACCGATCTCAGCCATATGAGGGGCAATCTCGTTCAACATCATGTCGCGGATCTGGTCGGAACAGTGCTCAAATAGCTTTTGAACAACAGTGTTACCAAGGTAGTCCGATGCTAGTTCTGCGATCTCGGGGAGCATCTCTACAGCAGCATTTTCAATGTCTGATTGAGACAACGTCTGGTTATCGATGCGCTTGCGAATATCGCGGAGCTTTGGGGCGTCATGGACTCGAGTGTGTGAAGGCTCTCGGATAGGAGGGATCTCATCGATAAAGGAGGTGAACTGAATAGAGGCTTGCAGGTTGTGAGAAATCCGGGCTCTGTCTGTCTCGGAAGCTCCAAAGTGGCACACAATCTCGAGAATGTCGGCAGTGATATCGCGCAAGGCTGGGGGCGTTGGTGGACCGTTGCTGTTCACGGAGGCAGCGGCATCGCCAATCGTACCGGCAGTCACCACCTGAGAAGGTTCGTGGCCCTTGGCGAATGGATCCGGACTGGGGGAAGGGAATGCGCCATCGTGACCGGGGGTATTGCCCGGCGAGACGGGCTTTGCGAAATTGATCCGGATAGGGCTTGCTCCTGGGAAGATTTCCTTGCCATTCATATTTGCCTTGGCAGAAATGGCGCTCTCGACTCGTTCAAAGTTGACGAACCCGCAGTTCTTGTGAGTGAGAACACGAACAGACACAATGGGCCCGTGCGACTTGAACATCTCAATCAACGTAGAGGTCGTCGTGGAGGTTGGGATATTGCCCAACCAAAGAGCGCTTGTGGGACCTTCAAGACCCTGGTCTTCTACGCCGAGAAGTCCAGCATTGCGACTGCTCGATCGGCCGAGGCTCAGCCCAGCAACGGCTGAAGGAAGATCCTCGAACTTCTTCTCCTCTTGAAGACGAAGCTCAGCTGCGGCAAGTGGGTTGGCAGCACCAGGAGTGGGACCGGCGAGGAATGAGTTCATGAGATGTGAGCCAGGGGCGTCGAGAACACCGGCGGTTCGGGCGCGTCGTCGGGTCGACGATGCCTGGTTGGCAAAAGCCTGCACGGCCAAGTTGTGGTTACGAATGGCGGCGTGTGTAGCCGCTAGCTGATCCTGAAGGGCTGCCGCGTAGTGTTGCTCGTTGACGGGAAGACCATCGATCTCGTACTCATCATCGGGATACTCATCGGCATGCACATCTTTGTTGTTGACGGAATAGGAGCGGATGCGACTGGCCTGTCGGGCGAAATCCAAGTTTGGCATATACGGCGTGGCAATCTGAGCTCGAGCTTGCTGTGGGGTTTCGGCGAGTCCAAGATAATCAAGCGTTCTCATATGAACATCTGAATCATTGCCGCCCTCCCTAGAAAAGTGCGATTGAGAAGGCGAGCTGGGACCGTTCGAAGGGACACTAGCAATGCTTGCAAGCGTCGATGCTCGCTCGCGCCCAACTCCGGTGGGATTCCAGCTACTGAAAATAGAGGGGCCAAAAGGCGAGATTGTACCGGGCAAAGGAGCAAATTG